AAAAAAAAAAACAAACAAAAGAAGAAATGGATAAAATATAGAATCCAGCAACTTTTCACGACTTGTTCTTGGACCCTCCCCAGATCGACCCCCAGAAAACGGGCCAATTCTTCCGGGCCTCATTCCAGCCCAGCAGCGAGCCTTCCCTCAACGGGTCCCAGCTGGCGGACACAATCCCGTAACTGACCCCTAAAAGCGCTGCCCCGAAGAAGACAAAGGACACGATGAAGGGCACCCAGGTGGGAACATCGATTTTCAGCCCAACCTTGAGATAGTAGAAGAAGGGGAAGAACAAGAGCCCAATAAAAAGTGGGATCCCCACAGAAAAGCCCATTCTGCTAATCATCCGATTCGTCACTATCTCCGGAATAACGCCTTCTTCTCGATCATCCTCCTCATCATCATCATCTTCTTCTTGGCTTTCGTATTTGTTCTTCTTCATATTTTTGGAGCTTTTTACCTTATTTGGTTTGGGCCCGAAGCCTTTGGGAGAATTTAAGGTGGCTGAAATTGGGCCGACGTGTTCTAAGCTTTTGGATTGTGTAGATGAATGGGTTAGGACTTGGGTTCTGTATTTTGATGAAGTTAGTGAAGGGAGTAATGGTTGAGGGGGTGTTCTTGCGAGAGTAAAGATTCCCATGACTCTCGAACTGAGTTCTCGTTTTGGAACATGTATGCTCAAATGGTTGGTGGATAAAAGATAGAAGCTTATCGCTACAGAGAAGGCTAATTTACCGTTGTACCCCTCAAGAATTACGTCACTCAACCACCAATGAATAGTAATCTTCATCTCCAAGGATATAACCGGAATGAAAAAGGCCATGCTACTGTATTTAGAATCTTATAGATTTAACGGGCCTGGGCAGATCAAGAATTCGGATGTTTTTCTAACAAGTCAAGACGGATGTCTACAAGAACATGTGAAAGATAAGGAACCAAGCTTGTAAGCACAAAGCTAACTTGTAGTTTACTGCCTACTTTTCAATCACTAATAGCTAAATGACTTTTTTTTTTTTTAGTGCATTGCACAAAAATGAATCCGACTAGTAATGTAATCTGACTCAGAATTGCATGAAATTTGCAGCAACAGACTCTTGGTGGGCTTCTCTATACATGTGTACCGCTTCACGAAAGTGAATCCTGTCAAAAGGACATTTTTTATCACAAACTCGATGCATATAAACAGCGGCAGTTGCCGTTCGACCAGTTTGAATTTACCACAGAAACTTCAATAAATAGGAATAATGTGCAGCCATACACAAACTTAATGATCAGGAAAGCAATTTCAAATATTGATTGTTGGGTTCATCAGAATTACCAACATGGGCATAATTTTAATCACCAAGTCAAAAGTAGATTTGTCTCCCCAGTCAAGTGGCTACATTTTACGCTGGGTCGAACTGGTTTTCTATGTTGGTTGTACGAATTTTACGTGGCATTACTCAAGCTTTAGAAATTAAGAAGTCTGATTACAGAAAAAATCATTCAAACACAAGTTTGCAACCATGAGTTTGGACACAATTACATCAGCTTTACCAATTATCATCAAATGACAAAAAGCTTCTTAAAACCCATCTTACCTAAGAACTTTCAGCAACTTCAAGCAGCATTTGATGAGATCCCAAATCGACTCTTGAGTAAAGCAATGCCTTTCTCTGTAGTTTTTGCAAGCTCAGGAATGGATGTTTTACAAACTGAAAACCTCACACGACAGAGAATAATACAATTAAGATAGTTAAAGCTTAAAACGTATGGTACATTACCTACATGTTGAAGGATACAGATCGGAACTATCATAATTTGTGGGTGCTGTTTGCATACATGGAAGTATGCACGTGTTTATGTTATTCTAGAACTGGAAAAGGCAATGGTTGTTATCTCATTTGTCGAGTTTCATAACAGTGCACCACAAATTCTGAAAGAGAAATGCTAGACATTGAAATATAGAGACAGAAGGTTGCACTTGAGCAGGCTTATTAAACATGATTAAACTACTAAAATAACTTATAAAATATGTACAAACTTACGGCGAGATGCAGTGGTCTGTGCTTCCGCTATAAACTCCTCATATGAATCCTGAAACAATCACAAGATAGCCAGCCAGACTCAAGACAAGAGAATTATTTTTATGGATCAGCTATTGCAGGGTCTTAGATGCAAGTTAGAATAATAAATTGCGTGCTCACCTTCATTGCTTCTCTACCTTCATTGATTCGTGCAGAAATCTTCTTATATTCTTTCTCTGCCTCATCAATCACGTGCTGACATGCTTGAGTCTGAATCTGTTGAAACAAAAAAGATGTAGGCACGCTTTTCTACTTTCAGAAAAACATTACATTGGAAACACAAGATATCAACCATCATACATGATCTTTCAGCACATTGACAGAAGCTAGGTCCAAATCATGGGATTAGCAAGATCAAAGAAATGTATCTCTATTTACTTTTTAATAAACTCAAACCCAAACAAAGGATCCAGTTCCACTTCTACTAATAATGACAAAACACCACATGCGAATATGCTATTGTCGCCAATTCACCACAACTGTCCCAACAGAAAAGAAAAAACTCAAGTAGTGAACTCCAGTGAAAATTAAATCCACACATTCAGACAATATATCTTTTCACAATCAAAATGTTTCACGTTGATGTTAAGAACATGTATAAAATCAACTACAACCAATTACTCTGTGTAAAACCAGGCCAAATGACCTCTGTTCGTCCAAATGTACTGCATCCTTCAAATCTTACAAAAATGTTTGACATAATACAAATGCAAAGAGGCTAAGATGTTGAAGACAGATTAGGTACTTTAATGTGCATTGCCTAATAACAAACAGACATTATAATTTGGAGATTGAATTTCTACTGTACTAGTCTGATAACATTCTTATCCTGCAGCAGCTTAAGCAAACACACTACCAATACAAAACTATATCCGCTCATAACAGAGACAGTATAAATGCATATCGAACAAATTATATATCTGAATAGAAACTGAAGTACATATTAGACACATATAAATAACAGCATGAAGAAAAACTAAGGATTACATTTATTCTGTGATGTAACTAACATCAGGACTCACAATTATGCTCTAAATCTCGTATGCACGTATATGCCAATGCCAAATATGTATACCAAAAATTAAAACAACAGAGATAGTATGAGAATTGTAACAGAACTCAAGCAATTAGAAGCAGACGTCCTCTCCAGTGACAGAAACCATAAACCAGAAACACCAAACGGATCTCAGATCTGGACATATTAAAATTGAACTTAAAAGGCACGAGTGCTGCGCGAGTACAAACCTTGAAGCGCTTCTGAAGACGAGACTCAGACGCCTCAATATCCTTCAGAATCTCAGAATGCGACAGCTCCAGCTGACGCTTGATAGATTCCAGATTAGAGGATGCGAGATCCTTCAGATCAGAAATCGTGTTCACGCTCTTCAGCGATCTCGGCGGCGAGGTAGAAAATCCTGTAGGCTGCATCCGCTTGGAATTCGACGCGACTGCGCTGCCATTTTTGTTGCTCTTCTTCTTCTTCAGAGCAGAGGCGATTTCGGCAAGTCCGTCCAGATTGAAGTCGAATTTGACTGCGGGAGACTCCGCCGGCGACAGAGAGGGGCTCCTTTTCCTAGGCGCTGCGGCGGACGGAGGCGCCGGAGGTGATGCTAGAAGCGCCGCGGCAGATGATTTCCTGGTCGATCTCTTCCTCATCTCTTGTTCTCCCTCAACCGTGTGCTGCTGCGACTGAATTTTTCCGGAACGAGATTGAAATTTTGGGGAATTTATAGAGGCGCGAAATCTCTCAAATTCTAAAAAGCTCGGTGCGAGTATCGAGTACTGAGTAGTGACCACCTATATAACTAACGAGTGAGGTTTTGTGATTGCAAATGGTTCAAACAATTTAAATCAGGGAATTAGTTCAAACTAGGGATGAAAACGGGACGGGAAAATCGCGTACCGTCCCGCAACCGTTCCCATATTTGACCCGCTCGTTTTCGTATTTCCGGTTTTTTTCCGGGAACGGGACGGATAAAAACGGTAACGGGACGGTAACGGTTTGGGGTGTTTCCCGCCCGTTTTCCCGGTTTCCCGTTTTTTAGCGGGAATATCCCGTTTTTATCCCGTTTAGAATTCCCGGGACCAAATAGGTATTGTACTGTGATGTTATATATGTTGTTTTTTACACTCAAATAATAATAATAATCAGGGGCGTAGCCAGGATTCCATGTTGACCTGAGCTATAATTATTTTAATAAAATATAACAATATTGCAAATAGAAATGTTCAAGGTTTGTAAATGAAACCGTCAAGTAGGCGATTCAAACCGTCGATCAATAGTTCGATTACAAATTCTAAAATGTCAGAACCACAACAGAAGGTTTGGTTTTAAAATAGAAAAAAAATATTTGAAAATTTTGGGAGGAGAACCATAAAAAATCAAAGTTTATTAATTTTTCAAAATTCCAAAAAATAAATGGTGAAAAACTATCTAAATCGCTGTTTTTTTTTTAAATAAATGCTTTTATAAAAAATTCGATAGTTTCTAAAGAATGTTCAAATTTTAACATTAGAATATTATTTGAAAACTAACATATCGAATTGAAAACCAGCAGTTTAAACCAGAACGTAACAGTAACTGTTTGTTCAACAACTAATCACGAAGCGCCAATAGCTAGTTATTGTTACTGTTTCGAATTTTTAACCAACCGTAATCGGTTACAAATTGATTGTTTTATAACCAAGAACGTGCCTAATTAATTAATATGTACATTCACGTTATGAAATGCCCTGCATTTTGATCATAAACATTTAGATTTCATGAATTTGAATCTGATAAA